AATGTGTGATGGTTTGTGGACGACGTGGCCAACATGGAAACCAGCAAATATTGTGACCATGTTTTAAGAATCTTGAATGAGCATGAAATTTGCTTAAATTAGAGCTGATGAATGTTGCTTTAGCTATGCATTAGTAATATTGGTTCCACAGATTCAACAACCAATGTGTACTAGATTTACTGCGCCTCCGAGCGCGAAATTATCTTGCACTCGAACGTAGCAATTCATCGGAACACGTGGTTGCTGTTATCTGCGGTGAAAACGCCCGGAAAATCGTCATCTCGTATGGCTCGAACTTTTGCATCCGCATTCGTTTGGTCATGCCAGTTCCTAACCAAACATGTTTGGGGGGGGGCATGTACATTTTTGTTCTAGTGAAGAACACTTGGGCTGTTGCTGTCCTAAAAAGTATTTATTACCCAAAGTGTTTCGCGCGCCTCATAAAGGTGTCTCAAAGGAATTGTCAGCTAAGTGTATGCATGTGTTAATTCAGATTTTTTTTACCTTGGCCATTAAGGTACATAACATAAGTGTCAGTTTCATGAATAACTATTATTCGTCGCGCCGTTGTGTAACGAGCTATTTGCACATCATGTTTTTGTATATGTATAGTCGGTTGTTTATGTGTGTATCTGCGGCAAGTACACTTAACTCACACTCAACCCCTGACCTTATCATTTGTGTTGTTTGATTGCAGACGTAAGTGCGGGCCTAAGGGAAGACGACTCCCTCGCCAGTGGTCGCGTTGATCTGGACCAATCTCCGGGATTTCGGCGAGGTGATGTCCAGGCACTGTGACCAGGGGCATAACCAGAGTCGCAGCAAGAAAGGGTCACCGCGGTAAGCAAAGGGCACATGCTGGTGGAAAGGCAGCAGGGAATCCAGTTCTCGAGAATCAGCTTTTCCTTGTATTTTGTATGTTGAAGTTATTTAACTGAAAGCGAAGCCAAAAAGTACCAGCGGATATAATTATGCATGTATTTAGAAGTGAATAAAATGAGACCAGCCAGGGATGAAATGCCGGTATCGAACAAACCACTGGCGTCATTCGCCTTACAGCGGCTCATTCGGTCTTTTCTGTAAAACGATACAAGTTAGGGGCGTTGTCGGGTTTTCTCAGGGTTTTGCAAAGACTTGAGAGCCCGGGATTGAACGCCAGTGTACATAGAAACAGGATCCAAAATTTTGTAATAATGTGCCCATCCTCTGTCCGCTTGAGAATGTATTTTTGTGTATAATTTTTCTGCGAAACCTTATACAAAATGGTTTTAGCATGTCCGCTCGCGTTTTAAGGCGAAAGAACGCGGACGCCCGCCGTTGCAGTCTCCCTGGGGCGCGTGGCGTTAGCTCCGCAGCCAACATCCGGTGGTGGTCAATGAGTGGAGGAGCATGACTTTACGTCGAAAAGTGTTACTTTGAAAGGCTTTATGTAATCAATTCGTATGCGCGCAGAAGGTAATCTGGGCCGTGCATTGTACCCGTGCGATTCTCAGCTTATTTCTCTGGACGGATTAACATGTGCAGCACCACGAACTCGTGACGCGATGGCGCAATCTCTATTTCTCGTATTGCTGAAACTACTGATTTCGTTCAGAGAATCCACCTCCAAAGTGCAAAGGTAAAATGTCCTGGTCAGGAGCTGAGGGCCCTTCCGTCTCAGCCCGGGGTCGCCAGCTGCTGCCATGCTCGATCCGGAAGCCCTTAGTGGGATGCATCATACGTCCCCTCCATGATGCGGCAGGCTTTTTGACCGGGGCATCTGCCACCGGACCGACGCAGAGGTCTTCACTGACGCAAAACGTTCCCTTACTGGCGCAGCGAGTCCAATCATTGGCACCGGGACAGGAGTTCGGCCTATTGGCTCCTAGCTGATACGGTGCGGAGCGGGGTCCCTCGTTCTATACTGGACCCTCTGACTGACATACGGTCTTTCCACTGTCTCATTGTACACAAGTGTGAACTGTTAAGTCGCCCTTTTTCACATCTCCCTTCATTGTCAAGAGGGCCCTCGATCAACACAAGAGGCTCTTTGACATTCGGAGCCCCATTTTTGTCTATGCTCAGCAAGTGTGTCCCTGGCCGATTTGGGGCCCATTGCCGACATAGGATCCCCCGTTAAGTACGGGGGCCCCCGACCACCACAGTGGTCGCTTCACTGTTTCAGGGGCCCGAACACTGCATTGCAATGCTTCAGAGGCCCATGGGCAATGCCAGAAGAGGCTTCCTGACATTTAAGGGCCATGATACCTCCCCTTTTTGGCATGTGGGCACCAGCCCGGTACAGGGACACTGTTCAGTATAGGGTCCCGTTCTCAGTTCCAAGATTCCCTGGCCGACAGAGCGGCCCTCCAGTGTTTACGAAACCCCGTCCGGCCCACCGGGCCCGCACGGGCCCCTTACCAGCACGTGGGGAGGGGTGAGCTATAGATCCCATAGGGCATAGGGTGGCCCATTGTGGTCGACCTTGCTTTTTCCCTGGTTCTAGTTACCCGTCTGTTCCCAACGTAGCTTGGAATGGCGAGACTGAAGTCGGCGCCCCGCTTGCATTTCACCGTCGGTGTTTTTTCCACACACTTTAAGGCATTAGGAAAGTGACCAGCCATAAAATTCTTGCCCGACTTCCCATTTACCCAAGGAACAGTTCATAACAACACTCAGGTCATTCCATCGTTATCTCTCCAGGAACGAGTACCTCAAACTGAAATTCTAAGATTTTCAGAAGGATGTTTTAGAGAACTGGTATTATTGATCAAATCGTATGCATCTGATCTAACAATAACTGAAAAGCACAGAAAAGGAGGCATGCTCCCTTTTATCCGTGTCCGGCCGGGGGTCTGCGACAACGGTGCCTGGCCGGGGGGACGTTGATCCCCCCCCCCCCCCGGGATCTCCAACTTCCTCATGCTGTATGAGAAAAAGGGTGCCCTCAGAAGGTCTCGCACACTCGGGAAGAATGCACACACAAGTTTTGACCGTAGATAAAATGTGAGGTCACCAGAGGCCACGAAAGAACAAAAGTCTCGGGTCCGAAAGATGCAGTTAAAACCGATGTTAACACGTCGAGACGGATATTGAGGGCATAAAATAGGCGTAGAGACTGTGGGGAATCCATTCCGACCACTGCTGCCCCCCCCCCCCCCCCCCCCCCCCGAACGCGGAGGAGGTGAGATCAGACATTTCACCGTTCAAAATTGCTTTACCACTAGCATACAAAAACGATACTTTTCTTAACGATGTGCTTCTAAGAGTGGTCTATTGGATGCAGCTGTGAAATACAAGTATTCCAGACACAAGAAAAACATTTCTAGGCTTATCTTGAGCTTATCTGAGGTCATTCTAGATCAAAGTTACAAACCATCCAAATAAAACTTGAAGTACTGATCCGGTCTATGTGACCAGCACAATGCCTTCCTGTGGTCAGAAATAGTGTATTGTACGTATACAGGTACTCAAAATCGCATGGCTGTTGTGTACATTATGCGTAGTTTGTTCGCCGTTTGGCAATGTATTTGTAATAAACTGAGAACAGTTACATTGGTACATAAAGTTAGACACCATCACCTTCACAAACGCGATAAGAAGGTAGTTGTACGCCTTGCACTCATTCATCTAGTCTCTCCGCTACTGGCAACATAGGTCATATAACACCAAGACAGATAAAAAAGATAAGGCCAAAAACTGCAGTAAGTGCATAGAAATTTGTACTGCTTACAAAGATAGTAAACATTGACCTGATTTCAGGTCACTGACATCGCATTTTCCAGAAAACTTAAATATACGGACAGTAGGTGCTATCATGTTCTACCACTACAACAAGTTTGAACAACAGCAAATGTCCCGAAGAAAGCCTATGTGTGCTCAAAGTCTTTTAGAGGTCGACTTCTTTGACCTGACCTGTCACTGATTTTGGAGGATCGAAACTTTAAATTTCCACGAGGGATGCCAAATTGATAGATGAACAGGTGTTAGAGATTTCGTGCTGTTACGATTGTTCGTTTTCGCCTTTGCTCGAAACACCGTATTGAAAATCAACTTCCTTCCTCCCCCCGCCACGAGTCGGGCGCGGCTTAAACAGCCGTTCTCGTAAAAAAGCTCGTAAAAGTAAGTAACATAATCAAACCTTTTTGTAATCAACGTAATCAATTATTTTCGTAATCAACCAACCTTTGCCATGAAATGTTTTGTTTGGGAGCATTTTCCGTCATCAGTCCAGCCTTTGCGACCTGTACTCCTTGAAACATTTGCAGAATGTTGCATTCACTGTAAGCGGGATTTTTCCGAATGCTGCAACATTTCAATCTTGGGGAGGATGTGTTTAGTTTGCGTGTGATGCCGCTGCAGGATATAAAGTTTTATGACACACCGATGTCATTGAGTTTCGACGGTAATAAATGGGTTCTGTGGTGAACTCAATACACTGTACACGGGGAAAATCGGACATCAAAACTATTGCATCATGTGTGCTCTGCTTTTCTGGTACCGGATTACCTCGGTCTCACACTATCTATTGTTACAACATCTTCTTGTATGTGTCTGGGCGCCTTGGCCATATTTATTTTTTGGTCAAGCGTTTAGAGCTATGAAATTCGGCTAGTGGGTGACAACGGCAGACATATTAATGTGATCCATGCGCAAAACTGGAACTGGCCAGTTCACTGGTGTCTGCCTTACGTTCCAATCTATCACATCTCATTCTGAGGCGCACCATTGACTGTAGCGCCACCTACAAGTTGGTGCCAGCAGCATTGTCCAACGCAAGGTGTAGTACCAACAAATACGCCCCTCTGGAGGCTTGCACGTAAGCCTAGATTGCGTCACTCAAAGCTTTGTTCCGGAAACCGGCGAGGAATGAACGGTATGAAAATGGATCCGTGCATTTCATGGCCTGTTTTGGGCATGTGCTTTTGTCCTGTTGGCTCACCTTTTCAGACAGGTTTACATCCAGAATCTTCGACTTGTATACACGAGCGGTGGTTTGAAACTCCTCGTCTTTTCACCATCTTTGTCATCGTGTATTGCATATGCTCTTCATTAAAATAGCACACGGTGCAGTGCTTACACAAAACAATATCATTGCCAAGGCATTAAGTCATCCATCTAACTACCATTGAATCCTTGGCATTCTATTAAAGATTAGCACCTTCCTCGGCACACTGGATCTCTCAGCCGTATGTTCGCCCCAGAGCTAGACATAATGCCCCGCGTAAACACAAGCAGAAACGTGCACGGCGTCTCTTCCTACACACTCTTACAACTTCTGGTATATGAAGGTGACGCCCTGCTTGGCATCCTCGAAGTACCTGTCTATGACGCAGCGTTCCACCCGGCGCCATCTGCCCAGCTCCTCCTGACGCTTCATGAACGACTCAAGCTGTTGGTACTCATCCGACATCACCAGAAACTCTAGCCGCATCGTGTTGACGACGTACCCTCCTGCGGAGGAGACAAAGATTCCCGCGTATCAAATGCATCGTTCGGTCGTGGTCTGGTCAGCATTTAAACTTTCACAGTCAGGTCATGGAGATTCAGGCGCGCACCCAGCCCAGTCTATGCATTAGAGAAGGTTGGCTGCACCCCGATCGCCGCCTTAGAACAGCAGGGGCCTCAATTTCCATACAGGTGGCTACAACAGGTGGCTAAAATGTATAGCCGCAGAAAAAAAGGACGCTGCAGTATGGCCATAGTCGGTGTGTACGGCACTTTTGATCGCACAGTATGTCTTCTGAATGACACGAATCCTTCAATAGGACAATCCGATTTGTCTCCAATTTTCTGGTGTCACTCCTATGATATCATCTATCGCCCATGCATCCACCGCTCTTATGAAATCGTCGATCATGAAATATCCACCGCTTTTATGAAATCATCTATCGCACAGGAAATCATCGATCGAACGAATATCTACCGCTTTTATGAAATCATCTGTTGCACACACATCCACCGCTTTTCACGGTACTAGATCAGTCTGTTAACATACTTACGTCGACCAAAAGCAGTTCTTCTTACCTGGCTTGCAGATGCGAATCATATCGTCCAGAGATGAGACTGGACAGTGTCCGGGCACGAAGCCACCCGCCACTACAACGACGTCATAGATATCGTCCTCGACATCAATCTTGTGATCGCCAATCGTGTCCTGTGAGCGTGAAATAAATGTGGCTGGTTATCAATTCCCTCCGATCAACGATCAGTAAAACTGATGAACTGTCATTGCACTGATCAATTTAATGTTTTTGACTTCCCATGACGACATAAACATCCACTTTAAGCGTATTTCCGTTGGTTGGTTACGCTAACTTGATGTAAATGTAGCTCCAATTGCTGGCAAATGAGGCACATTGATAACGACTATCGCTACAAAATGGGCCATCTGTATCAAAGTCAGAGTGATCTTTAGTAAATACGTCCCAAAACACCCACATAAGCATAGAGTCATGCAGGTGTATTTCACACTTATGGATACTGACATGACATGCAAGTATGCTACCATGGGGACATGCTTGTTGGTTAGTGTATGAGGGTCCTTGTTCTGCAACATTGTGATATCACCATCATTTCGCCGTCCACATTAGATTCAGATCGGATATGCCACTTTCTCAACTCGCAAGGTAAAGGGAAGGGCATGGGTCCAAAACTAGGTACAGATGTTGATCAGCCGGCGTCGCGGCAACACGAGATCAAAACATTTTGACGAAGGGAAAGCTCGGAGCTGGATGTTGTCAATTGTTCAATCACAATTCATCATAAATGCGTCGTAAAAGGTCAGCCAATGTTTAAGCGACGGCATCCGTAACTTTGTGCGCGAACGCAAAACACCACATCATTTTCGCCAGCTAAGACCATGACAGACCATATTCCAATCCAATGATGAGACCTACTTGCATTCGTTTACGCGGGTGACGGGCTCTTTTCGCTGATGTTTTGGTGGCATAAACATGGTGACCACTACCGCGCCTGTTGCCACCTGGCTCGCCCAACATAAAGATGTGTCGGTGGTTGAGATTGCAATATTTGGCAGAGCTATGATTAAGATGAAAATTTTCTGTTCTCACGAAATCCCAGGCGACATGACAAGTGTTCAAAACGACAGTTCCACATCGTGCATAATGGCTGCTTTTCTGTTTTCGCCGAGCATCACTAGTACGGACGAACCACAACGATAACAGTTAATACGATGGAGTCACTACTAAGATACTAAGATGCTACTAAAAAAGCATACTACGATGGAGAAAATCATTTTCAAGAGATCATGAGCCAAGTGCTAAGACAACTGAAAACGACAGTTCCGAACAAAACTACTGTTACCTGCGCTTCGATTTCGCCGAGTGCATCTATTACATACTAACCATGATCAAACGTTGGTATATGCCGCGTGCTTTCGCCAGGGCGATCATTTCGCTGGACGGTTCCAGGCCATCCAGGTGCGTAATGCCTGCGTCATAGAGCTGAAACCAAACCACATGTCAATGCATACCAATCTGGTTTTGATCACTGGGAACTGATACGTACTAGTCACATCCATGCATCGCTATCAATACCTTGCAGACCAAACACAATACAACGCACTGATAATGTTTAAGTGTTAATCCCACATACGCTTGTTGAAATCAGCCCTACTATCATAGCGCCAGTAACAGAAGCCGATTGCCCTCTATGTACTTCATTGTTGAAATTCGCTGTCCTCTGAAGGTCCATGAGGCATTTCGTGGGAGTCTAACGAAGTCAACGAAAGCCTAAGCCATGAAGCTGGCCAGACTTACGCTGTTCGGTATATAAAGCTACCATCTTGGAAAAGGTAGGCGACGAAGATGGTCCCTGGCACTCCCGAAGATGGCTGCTGGCACCAAGGACAACGGCCCTTGGCAGAAACGGTAAATTCTTTCAACGCACAGGTTATATTAAGTTGTGGGTGTATTGCTATCATTCTGCTTAGCAATTTCATAAAGAGGAGGGTCTCTTAATCACCGCAAGCGTTAAAATCATCCGATCTTCAACGTTACCCAGTTTTTGACGGAGCACGGCTGCTGATGTTGCTGGCACCGTATCGTGGCCTGCGGCTTCAGGTAAGTACCCTCTGGGCGACGAGTCCGATACCCGCCGCACCGTGGCCTATGCCCTCAGGTACGCACCCTCTGGGCGACGAGTCCGATACCCGCCGCACCGTGGCCTATGCCCTCAGGTACGCACCCTCTGGGCAACGAGTCCGATACCCGCCGCACCGTGGCCTATGCCCTCAGGTACGCACCCTCTGGGCAACGAGGCCGGTACCCGCCGCGATGTCCATCACCCTCAGTTTGCTTCTGGGGACGGGGCCGTCTGCCGGGCACATCCGCAGCACCGCCTCCGCTGCCAGGCGCGGCGCATGGTACGTGTCGTTTGTGAATGTCTGAAAAACAGAGCCCGTTGGTAGACGCCCTTTTGACACCTATAAGCAGTGGGCAAGCATCGAGACCCCGACCTCTCCACTTTCTAGACGGCACAGAGTTTGCCCACAGACATCCCCGTGTGCTGGGCTCAGCAGTGGCGGCTCATCCCGTGGCCCGCGCGCGCGCCCGGCGCTCATCGGGCTGAGACCAGTGCCACGGTGCGTCCGCCGAGCCGCAGCGCACCCGTGGCCAAGGTTTGTGGGTGGCCGGCGCGGCCGTTTGTGGTCCGCGTGTCAAAGTGTCGAGTGGGACATACAGGTGAATGGACGGATGAATTGATGGACAGACAGATAGGCTTTTAAGCATTGGGGCAGCAACTCTTGGCTGAGTGACCCATGCGAGCGGCTTTCAATTGCAGTGATCTGTATTGATTTTAAACAACATTTTTTTTATTAACACAAGATTATAAAAAGGAAGCATCAAAACGTTCAAGATGGTAGCGTCCACTGCTTTTATAATCTAAAATGGGAGCATCCAGTGTTCAGAACATCCAAAAGGCGTCCAATTCCGTGCTCATTGGCGGAGTTCAGAGCATCCAACCTCGCTAAGTCCAAAGTCATTAACATCGAACTTTCCTAACACCCAGTGATAACGATGTCCAGTTAATAAGCTTTGATTGGGACTGTTCTCCTACCTCTGGACGTCATGAACGCCGTATGCTATGAACTTTGGATGCTACAATTTTTGATGTTGTGAGTTTGGATGCTGTGACTTCCCTCTGTTAGGAACACTGGCCGATTTTTTGGATGCTATGAATGCTGGATCCAGAGATTTGAGACCTTTTGACCATTGAACGTTATGACCTTCGGATGTTTCAATGCCTTTCCAATGAAAGAAAACTGGATTTGCCTATGGCACGCATAATGATAGTGCCCATTTTTTACAGCGACTTTTTGGTGAACCAAACTGTTGATTACTGAGCTTAATATGACTGGCTTTCCATGGTGGTCATCAATCCAAAAAGGTTGAAACTCAGTTACAAACTTAAGACTGCTATCGGAGCCTGACGTCTGCAGTGGCTTGTTTCTAATGTATCACAGTCTGTTGACAAAGATCAGGGCGACGCGAACTTAACAAAGTGTGAGGGTCTTTAAAAAGCTGTAAACGAAAACAATCACATGTGAGAGACAAAAGCTGATACATGACAGCTCTGGCACGGTCAGATATCGTACGCCTTCTTTAAACTGACCACAGGCGAAGCCCGGCGGAGTTGGTGATAGCCAGCTGCACGCTACGGCATATCCAGCTCCTGTAACGCAAGGAAACATCGCACATGGGCTGTCACACACGTCCCAGCTGCCGTTATAACGAAGTGTACCCCAGTATTGTGGCGAAACGAGCCCAAAGTGTTATATAAAAACAAGTTAGAGAAAGTCTGGGGACATAAGAGAAATTGGAGAAGACAGAAGCTGCATTGTCTTACCTTGCAGGCCTGCTGTTAATGCTCCTATTATATATATATATATATATATATATATATATATATATATATATATATATACATATATATATATATATATATATATATGTGTGTGTGTGTGTATGTATGTGTGTGTGTGTGTGTGTGTGTGTGTGTGTGTGTGTGTGTGTGTGTGTGTGTGTGTGTGTGTGTGTGTGTGTGTGTGTGTGTGTGTGTGTGTGTGTGTGTGTGTGTGTTGTGTGTATGATTTACATTATTATGCGAGCGTGAATTTTAAAAGCGATTGGAAAAGTCACAGGATTGCTCCGGTACTACTATATGGACAGGTTTGGGTAACATTAGCAGGCATATTTCCGGGTATATTGCAAATGAATATAGCTGCATTGTCTACTGTGACGTGCTGTGACTCAAACAAGACAATAACGCTTTAAACTGTCTTGTTTGTCTTTTATTTTAGGCTCGAAAACGCCGGTACTTTGCTTACACGTGACATGGTTGCTATAAAGGGCTGTCAAAGGTCAGTGTTCCAAGTTGACCTTCACGTCATAATATTGTTACAACATGCACACAACCGCCACCACCTTTTCGCTTTCATTTGCCTGTGGCTTGGTCACCTAATCGTGAAACAGGAACTCCATTCCCTTCAATGTGGTATGTCGGCAATGCAAAGGCATTGCACGTTATCCTAATTCAGGCTTGTAACATAACATGAAGCCTATTCAGCGGCAGACATCCGGAGAAACCTGCCGGCAGTGCGCCTTGCACGCTTAAGACCAATTAACGCTAAACTTTTTTGAGTCAGCTTGTTCAGCCTGTGTAAGGTCAACTAGGGACGGTGACCAGTGACGAATTTCCGTCTTTCTTCAAAACTAAGCGAAAGGGTCGCTCCATCATCTGTTTGTGACATGCTGCTACTAAATGGCACGTCCAAACTCAGCTGATCTTGAAATGGAACTAACCTTACAACTTATTGTCTCCGGTCAGAAGCCAGGAGTATATAATTATGAGCTGGATGTAGTATTGTGGATGACCAAATCATTCAGTTCTTAACAGACTGAAATAGCAGGGACGATTTGTCGGTTGATTGGTTGCAGTTTTAGAGAAGAATCGACGGAATGACCTACATGATCTTCACATTGTTCTCAAACAGAACCTTGGGAAAAGTGGTTTAAAATTACAGAAGCTGGCTGAAAATGTTTGATTTGTCTCTTCACATCTGTTCCGCCCGTAGACGGCAGTGGCCTTGCCCTCGCCCCCCCCCCCCCCCCGAGCCCGGTCACTGCGAAGGTTAACCAGTAAATACACACACATCTATCAAACTTGGCACTTGTCAATGACGGCGCGCCTCACGTGCATGAACAACATTTTTCCTGCTACATTTGGAACATATTCAAGGACAGTTGTTTTGCCAGTATTACGTCCTTAGGGCACCAATAGCCATGTAAATGCGGTGCCGTAAGCGGCGTCTGTTATTACATGAGCTTGTAACTGCTACGCTATTACCAATTTGGGACAGGTAAATCCGATCAATGTCCTGCCCTCAGTGATCAAGTAACATTGTCAGCAGGTGTCACCGTATGTCTGCTAATAAACTGTCAGCATGGCGGGGCATTTGGGGCGAGGGGGCTGTGGCTGTCCGGACACTTGAGCAACCGAGCGGGCACCAGCTGCGCACGGTACCAGCTGTGCACGGTACCAGCTGTGCACGGTACCAGCTGCGCACGGTACCAGCTGCGCACGGCACCAGCTGCGCACGGTACCAGCTGCGCACGGTACCAGCTGCGCACGGTACCAGCTCTTCATGACTGGGTCAATCTATGGATTTGAGATTGATCATGGGTTAGGCCGGACTTGTTCGGAGAACTCAAAGCGGTAGCATTGGGCTCGGTTGAAATCGTTGCCGGTACTGGCCTATTGGAATGGATCGATGCATTCGGCATAATTTTTAGATAGAATGCATTTTCACATGCGTGCCTCGTTGACTACTTCATGCTACACCACTTTTCACATGTGAAATTTTCGCTGGGGCGTGTCGGATTTGGATTTTGTGAGAGCCAAAATCAATTGAAGGGTTAATTAGGGACTAAACCTGGCGAACTGAATGGGATTGAATGATAGGAGCGCAGCCCATAGAGAGCTTAACTGCTCGGCGCAGCTCGGGTGGCCGTACGCAGTCTGTGCGTACGGCCATCCGAACTGCGCCTACGTTGTCGGTGTCAAAAATATCGCACAACGCATGCAAGCGCTGAGCGAGGCACGCCAACAGACTCCGGAAGCTCTACCGCGGGCTTTAGTAACTATCAGCGACGCTGACTAAAATTGCAGCTGTATGGGAAGACCAGAGTAGTCGCCACACAAAGCTAACCTTGTCGTAGACATTGGCGGTGCGGTTGTACTCGCTGACGGTCTCCTCGAAGCTCTGGCAGCTGATGAGGCGCGTGATGAGACGCGGGGGCCCGGCGCCATTGGCGCGCGCCTGGTGCAGCTGCGAGTGCACTACGCTGGTCATCGTCCCCGTTTGCTGAGCGCTGCAGTTATGTGTATAGCGGGCGGCGGCGCTGCACATTTTATGCGACCAGGCCCGCGACTCCACCCCAGTGCGTCGCAGCGGCGGCGCCACCAGCGCAGGCTGCACGCGGTCGATGTGTTTGTTGCAGGTGACCGTCCAGGATGACCGGGGCAACCAGCGGGGCAACCAGCAACCGGGGCAACCAGCGGGGCTGGGCGACCGTCTCTGCCCACCCAGCCTTCAGAACATTTAACATTGGCGCTTCGAGCGTTGGATAGGAAGAAACGCCCGCAAATGTCCATCAGTGCTCCATGCTCCCCAAGCATGGGAGAACTTCCATCACCTTTTGTGGGATGGGTGTCATTTTACGGAATCCTCTGAACCTTGAGGAGCGTGAGCGGGTGCTGTGTGATCCCTCTGCCTTGACTCAACACAAGAAATTCCAAGCATCCGACCAACTTTATAATGCAAGTTAAAGGGTTCGTCGCGAAGATGCCCTTGTGGGGAAGCTCAGCAGGGTCGGGAAGCTGTATTCCCTGGTTGTGCATATCTTATATACACCATTGTCCATATTATGCGGGAGACTATTTCACATATTACGGCCACACGTACGCGTAGGCATGGGATCGGACCAGCCAGGTGTCACATCAAGGCCACATCGTGGCAGCCTGTCATCCGCCGCACGGCCTATCGATCTTGTCATGCAAGGAGCAAGTGCAACCGATCGCAGACGGGAACGCATGGCACGAAAAGGGGTAGCGGCTCTCACAACATCTCGTGATGACGTTTCTGAGCACACCGCTCCCACGATTCCTGACTTTTCGAACACACCAAGGTCGGTTGCAGACTACAGAAAGACCGCTGTCCTTATTCGACCGATTCGTATACCGAACGAAATATGTCCTTGAAGTGATGTGCGGTAGAATAGGGAATAGGAAAGGAAACGCCCGTTGGGCGTGCATGGAACGTACCAAAAGGAGGCGTTCTCGACGTGTGGCGATGCGTAGAAGGCAATGAGGCGCTGTGGGTGGAAATCCCCGGAAATAGGATGTTTGATCTGAATATTTAGGCTATTTGGAATGTTCCAAGGGGAAGGATGGTGTTTACAAACCATTTGTATTTCGACCATTCGTGGATCCCGGAAAATGGTCTGATCGGCTATCTGAATATTTAGGCTATTTGAATGCCAAGGTCGAAGGATGTGGGACAAAAACATTAAAGCAGCGAGGGTCGAACAAAAGAGAGAGAGGGAGAGCCGGCGCCGAGAGAAGAGAGAGAAGCAGAGACGAGAGTAGCAAGCGCGTGAGAGACGAGACGCGATATAGGAGAGCATGCGAAGAGATGAAGAAGAGAGCGAGCAGAGAAAGAGCAAAGAGAGAGATGAGAGAGCTTAGAGCAGCTAGAGAGTAGAGAGACAGAGAAGAGTCGAGAGCGAGAGAGCTGTCTCGCGCGAGGAGCTCTCTCTCTCTCCTCTGCTCTCTCTCTCTCTCTCTCTCTCTCTCCTCTCTTCTCTCTCTCTCTCCTCTGTCTCTCCTCCTCTCTCTCTCTCCTCTCTCTCTTCTCTCTCTCTCTCTCTCTTATCCTCTCTCTCTCTCTCTCGCTCTCTCTCTCTCTCTCTCTCTCTTCTCTCTCTCTCTCTTCTCTCTCTCTCTTCTCTCTCTCTCTCTCTCTCTCTCTCTCTCTCTCTCTTCTCTCTCTCTTCTCTCTCTCTCCTCTCTCTTCTCTCTCTCTCTCTCTCTCTCTCTCCTCGCTCTCTCTCTCTCTCTCTCTCTCTCTCTCTCTCTCTCTCTCTCTCTCTCTCTCTCTCTCTCCCTTCTCCCTCTCTCTGTCTCTCTCGCTCTCTATCTCTCTCTCTCTCTCTCTCCTCCTCTCTCTCTCTCTCTCTCTATCTCTCTCTCTCTCTCTCTCTCTCTATCTCTCTCTCTCTCTTCTCTCTCTTTCTCTCTCTCTCTCTCTCTCCCTCTCTCTCTCTTCTTTCTTACCTCAAAGTGGTGGCGGTCTGGATCAAATCGCTTCGGGTGTTTGCTATATTGATATGGTCGATGGCCGTTGGCAGCGGCCAGTAGCAGAATAAGCCGTGCCGTGCCCTGCGGCACGGTTAACTTTTGCTGCCAAATTTTGCTGTTGACTTAAAATTACACGATTAGTGGCATTGATGCCCACCCAATTAGCACTGCTTTGGCTCGGATCCCCCGAATAAATGCACTCGAAAAAAAGGTTCGGATGCAATCGTTAAGAAACGTGCATGCTTGCATTCGTAGCGCGGGTTAGAATCCAGTGCCTCACTGGTAGGCGCACAGTTGTGACCCCCGCACTATTTTCAGTTGACCGTGGAAATAGAACGAAGCAACAACCGCAAAATTTAGAGTACGATTTCTTCAGGCACGTACCCAATTTTTCACCCATCAGATTAAATGTTAAATTTCCTCCGAGGACAAGATTTCTGAGAAAATGCCTGGTGCCTACTTCCCTACATCACCCGGAATATCCTTGTATGGCCGTTGCTTACTGTCGGCAATTTTAGTCGTCATTGTAAATCAGCTCATTGGCATACGCATGGACAAGTGATAGGACTTGAGAAAATCATCACTTAATGCATTTTGCGCCGAAGAAGTATCGATCGTTTTCTTGCATCGTGTCATTTAACGAGCTGAATGCCCGGTGGCGTCGCCCCTGAGTTGATGTGCTAACCAGCCGCGCGGAATTGCCACCCTAGCACTCACCTGCAGTACTTAAAACTTGCCGATAACTGGTAGCGGTGGTGCTGAAAGGTTCGCTGAGTTATATATTGGTTTGTCCTCATGTTTTGACCATTGTATCGTGCTGCTCCTCCTTACTTATCCGTGAATTCAAGATGTTTACTTGTGTTCACATATTCAGTTAAGGCGCTAATCTTAAGTTATTTCATTACATGTCTAACTTCCATAATAACTAGGGAGTGAGGCAGCCAAGAGTGACTTCTTATATTCCGTAGCACAAAACCAACCACCACACGTCCCTCTTATTTTCTATGTTTCTTCATCCTGCATCCTCGCGATGCCCCGCTTGTCCGGGGTAGGCTGCATGAGTCAGCCACGAGTGGGCCGAGAGCCCCCTGGGAACAGGGACCCCGTTTGGGTTCTAAGCGCACATGTGCGGGATGAAGCTCGACGTTTGTCCCCCCCTCCCCCCCCCCCCCCATGCGCATGCAAGTCTGCCCCACTGATACCATTTTCCTTCATCCCACGGCTCTCACAATGATCAATTTTGGCCAAAAGCCTGGCCGAAAGGTCTCTAGCTCAAGAGACCAAACACCGATCTTCACGTAGTTCATCCGTTCCTCTTATCCTCTTTCTAAACGTCATCTTGTATCCGCGCGACACTCCGCTCGTCAGGGACAAGCTGCATGCGCTGGCCGCGAGTGGGCCGAGAGCCTGGGGCAAGGGGGACCCCGACCGGGTACCCATCGCCCATGCGCGGGCTTAAGCTCGGCGGTTGCCCCCAGGCGCTTGCAAGTCTGCTCCACCGTTAACCATTTTCCGTCATCCCATAGTCCCGAAATGTTCATTTCTGGTCGAAAGGGCTTCTATTCAAACGCCAACTTGACAAGTGGTTCGTGATTGAAAACTAGTCACCCTATTAGGAAAACTGTTGTGTGTGCCCGTGCAGCCTGTCTAAACTTAAAGGGGATGTCCTATTTTTGGAACATATTTTAAAAACATGAACATGTGAACTCTCAGAACATGTGAATGATATGACTCGCACCTGGGAGCGCGGCTACATCACGAAGAGAATATTATGCGTAAATTGGTCTCATCTTTACGAAGCTAAACCACGCGGTCAACATTTCAGACCATTACTGGACTGTGTTGCTGAGGTCTCGGGCGATTCTAGTGCAAGCCAGGCGGCGCTCACCATTGTGAATTTTGTGATTCTTTTGGATGATTGCTGGGTCTTGCCCAACGTACGTGAATTCCGAATGAAGGTTTTTAGGATGCTAAAACATCTTGTTTGACATGCGACGGCTTATTTTCCCAAAATATTGCGCAAGTTTTATGGCAAAACGATATTTCAGCTTGCTTCGGATCATCTCCTTAAAGACAGCAGTCAGAAGTTGTGATTGTTTATTCACAGGCGCCATTGGTGGCATGTAGACAGTGAAGAAATATAACTTTTTTGGTATTGGTCATGTCCCATTGGTACCACTTAAGAATTCAATGCCTTTCTCTATGCTGTGTTTTTGTAGAATTGCAAGTGAAAAACTGGAGGGGTGCAGTGGAAGTGATGGACAACTAAGATTGTAAATCATGAGTGAATTATTCAGAAAGCAGTATGGTGCGTTCTCTCAAGACAAGGAGTGGTTTGTTGATTTGTTTGTTTGGTGTTTGTTGGTTTGTTTGCAAAGTGGTTTGATTGAATTTCGTGCGTTAGTCTACTCTTTAATTTATTAATGATGCGAGCACGAATAAAGAGACTTAATGCATAAAATATCAGCTGGTTAATTATCAATGCACTTGAGCAATGGATGAAAATCGAATGTTATGCAGAACATATATCCTGGTTTCCCAAACTATTTCGTAACTACGTAACAATATCCGCACTACACACTGAAGCAGCTTCTCCAAGACAGCAGTCGGGGGTTGTCATTCAACATCAACATCAAAGATTGATGACCTCCGAGGAGTACAATATTTTGTTGTATATGCCTCGTATGCTGAGCCAATTAAGTGGTCCATGATAACCCTATCTTACGTTCTTGTTGAACTCTGCGTGTGAAAAACTTAAAAGGTTTCAGCTGAAATAACTAAGAATGGCAAATGTTCTGCAACATAAGTGGAATTCGAAACATCTTGGTGCTGTGCTCTTGCCATCATGGCACGCCTAAAAATGACTTGCTGCATTGAATAGATGTGCTCATTTTCCTATATTGTCCATTTTGCGTTGCCAGCGGAGTAGGCTGTATGGCTCGCAGGTAGAAAAGAAAACTGTGTTGAGTGATTATCAGTTCGCTTACGTCACGACTGCGGAAACT